TCGACTTCACCACAAGGCGACACTCAGCGCGGCACTCCCGGCCTCCCTGTGGCTAGGCCAAGACCAGCGGCTCAACCAAATGTAGTTGCTGCGCGTATCGGTCCTCCAATGGGATACCATTCGTACACCGGACCCCCATCGAATACCAATTTTCTCACTGCTGGTAGTCATACTTTTGGACGGAGCCGTCTGACGCCCATACAACGACCGCAAGGCCTGGATCCGGTGGAATTGCTGAAAGAACGCGAACAGCGTATTCAATCCAGGATCGCTCAGCGCATTAAAGAACTGAGTTCGCTCAGTGCTTTCTCAACGCCAGAGCAACGAGTTTCACTACTGATTGAACTTCGCTCATTGAGACTTTTGAATTTTCAACGGCAGTTGCGTCAAGATATAGTCTCTTCTATGCGTAGGGACACAAGCCTAGAGACTGCACTTAATGTCAAAGCCTATAGAAGACCAAAAAAACAGACCCTTCGGGAAGCTCGATTCACAGAAAAATTAGAAAAGCAGATGAAATATGAACAGGAAAAACGTCGCCGTCAAAAACACCAAGAATTTTTGAACGCTGTTCTCAGTCATGGAAAAGACTTCCGTGAGTTTCATCGAAATGTTAACAGTCGCATGATGAAGATCAATAAGGCAGTACTCAATTACAAGGCGAATGCAGAGCGAGACAAACGGAAGGAACAGGAACGAATTGATCGTGAGCGTATGCGCCGCCTGATGGCTGAGGATGAGGAGGGTTATCGGTGTTTGATTGATGCTAAAAAAGATCAACGTTTGCACCACTTATTGACACAGACCGATGAGTTCATCTCAAACTTAACAAAGTTAGTTCGAGAGCACAAACGGGAACAGAGCAAGCAGCGCGTACGCGAAAAGGCTGACAGACGTAGAATGGCACAGGAAACTGCGCTTCAGAACGCCATCAACTACTATCGTCGCTTGGCAGAAGAATCTCTTCGTTCAGGGAACCCACCTCCGGCCTACTTGGCAACGCTTCCACCTGTTGATATGTTCCCAGAGGAATTACAACAAGTCAATCGTGACTGGATTTGTGGAAAACAGCCAAATGCGAGCGTTCAACTCCCTGAGGTGCATATTTCTGTGTATCAGACAACCACCAAGGAGTTACTTGAAGGTAGCTCTGCTCCACTTGCTTCGGAGGTTTATACTTGGCTTCAAGACCACCCAGGATGGGAGGTGAGCTATTCCATGCCCAGTCTGTTTTGAAACTGACGTATAACAGGTTGTTCGGTTGTGCTCCC